CTTTATTTGTTATCACTACGTGATGATGTGAATGTTGTATACGATGATGGGAACGTTGCGTGCGACAATGAGAATGTATCCTCGTTTACGGATGTAAACAGAAAACGAAAGAGAGCTCACGATGCGTCGTTCAAATTATGGCACTGTCGTTTAGACCATATTTCGAGGGAGAGAATAGAAAGACTAGTTAAGAATGATATTCTTTCTCTATTAGAGTTCTCAGATTTAGAACAATGCAGAGAATGCATAAAAGGAAAGTATGTAAAGAAAATTAAGAAAGATGCCAAACGAAGCGCAAAAATTTTAAAGATTATTCACACAGACATCTGTGGTCCATTTCCTATAAAGAGTGTGGATGGTTATGATTCGTTCATAACATTCACAGATGATTACTCCCATTATGGCTACATTTATCCAATAAAAAAAAGAACAGAAGCATTGGATATATTTAAGATACTTAAGGCTGAAGTTGAAAAACAACACAATTTAAAGATTAAGATAGTCAGGTCCGACCGTGGGGGAGAGTACTATGGTCGGCATACCCTATATGGCCAAGTTCCTGGACCTTTTGCAAGGTTCTTACAGGAGAATGACATAGTAGCCCAGTATTCTACACCGGGCGAACCTCAACAGAATGGAGTAGCTGAAAGACGTAATCGTACCCTGATGGATATGGTACGTAGTATGATAAGTCACTCCACCTTACTGATGAGCCTGTGGATGGAGGCGTTAAAAAACCGTCATTCATATTCTCAATAGAGTACCAAGTAAGTCGGTGCCCAAAATACCGTATGAGTTGTGGACAGGAAGAGTACCCTCACTAAACCACTTACGTGTGTGGGGAAGTCCTACTGAGGCTAAAGTATTTAACCAAAATATTGGAAAGCTAGATCCCAAAATAGTAAGTTGCCATTTCATTGGCTACCCAGAAAAGTTAAAATGTTTTTATTTCTACTGTCCAGACAGACATACAAAGTTTGTGAAAACGAGACACGCTGTCTTCCTAGAGGATGAAATGATGAGGGGGAGCATGATAGCTTAAGAAATTGACCTTGAAGAGAAGCGGGTGTATGCGCCCACTCCGATAATTCATGAGCCATTTTTCTCACTACCTGCTGTTGCTGCACCGATAGTGCAAGATATTGTGGTGCCAGCACCTGTTGTTATTCCGTCTGTGGCAACAATGAATGACGATGAGGAACCTGTTCTTTAGGATCCTGTAGAACCTATTGCCATACATGAGGGGGAGCAACAACAGCCTCAAACAAAAGATGTGCCAAATGTGGAGGCTCCTAGAAGGTCTCAAAGAGTTAGAAAATCAGCTATTCCTGCTGACTATGAAGTATACAACACTGAGGAATTTCAAATAGAGGATGATCCCACCTCATTTGAAGAAGCCATGATAAGTGATCATTCATCAAAGTGGCTTGAGGCCATAGAAGATGAAATGAAATCTATGAATGCCAATAAAGTTTGGGACTTGAAAATAATTCATAAAGAAGCCAAAACAGTAGGCTGTAAATAGGTCTACAAAACAAAACTTGACTCTCAAAGAAATATAGAGAGATATAAAGCGCGACTTGTGGCAAAAGGCTTTACGCAAAGAGAAGGGATTGATTACAATAAGATATTTTCTCTAGTCTCATGTAAGGATTCCTTCAGAATCATAATGGCATTAGTGGCACATTACGATTTAGAATTACATCAGATGGATATAAAGATGGCATTTCTCAACGGGACTTGGAGGAAAATGTTTACATGGCACAACTAAAAGGTTTTGTCATGGAAGGAAAATAATGAATGGGATGCCGCCTAAAGAAATCCATTTATGGATTAAAACAAGCTTCAAGACAGTGGTACTTGAAGTTTGATCAGACAATAAGAAATTTTGGGTTTAAAGAGAATGTAGAGGACAATTGTGTCTATGCAAAGTTTAAGAATGGGAAGTTTATCTTCCTTGTCCTATATGTGGATGATATCTTACTTGCTAGTAGTGATGTCAGTCTACTACTGGAGACAAAGAAGTTTTTGTCCTCAAAATTTGATATGAAAGATCTTGATGAAGCTTCGTTCGTTCTAGGGATCGAGATTCATTGAGATAGAAGTAAAGTGATATTAGGTCTATCACAAAAGGCATACATAGAAAAGATCTTAAAGAAATTCAATATGCACAAATGTAGTCTCTCACCTGCTCTTATAGTCAAGGGCGATAGATATGGGGATTTTCAATGCCCCAGGAATCAGTATGAGATCGATCAAATGAAAACGGTTCTATATGCTTCAGCTGTCGGAAGCTTGCAATATGCTCAAGTATGTACGCGCCCTGACTTGGCATTTGTTACCGGGTTACTTGGTAGATTCCAGAGCAATCTTGGAACAGAACACTAGAAATTAGTAAAGAAAGTCTTGCGTTATTTGCAAGGAACGAAAAGCCTCATGATGACGTATAGAAGATCAGATTCACTCCATATAGTGGGATATTCAGATTCTGATTATGCGGGAGATGATAGAAAATCCACGTCTGAATATGTATTCACTCTCGTAGGGGGAGCTATTTTATGGAAAAGCTCAAAGCAAACCGTCACTACATCGTCCACAATGTATGCCGAGTTTGTAGCGTGTTATGAGGCAACGGGGCAGGTGAACTGGCTAAAGAAGTTCATACCCAGTTTGAAGGTGGTTGACGACATCTATAGACCACTTACGTTATACTACGATAATAATCCGGCAGTATAGTATGCTCACAACAATAAGTCAAGTGGTGCTGCCAAATACATTGACATAAAGTATTATGTTGTGAAAGATAAAGTCCAGGATCATGTCATAAGTCTTGAGCATATAAGTACCGAAAAGATGCTCGCGGATCCGCTTACAAAAGGCTTACCACCCAACGTGTTCAGAGAATATGTAGCCGGCATGGGTTTAAGGGAAAGCCTATAATTTCTAGATAAAAGAAGGCCAAAAAGTTAAGTATCTATTTCAGAACAGAGTGGTGTGTTGTAGTTGTTAAATCTATCGGCAATTGACCGTGACGATGAAACATGCTCTATACGCTAATCTGTAATGGAATGAATAAAAGTAAATGATATGAAATTGAAAGATGGTAGGAGATCAATGGGGAGATTGTTAGATTGATCTCTAATCCCAAACTAGGCCTAACGGGCCAGTTGGGCCTTTGATCCGTGCCCTGATCGGAGGCGCCCAGTCCACTATGGCTGGAGGGCCACTGTCACACTGCGCAATATATAGAGGTGGGGGCCGGCGGCTCTGAGTACGAGGTTTGCCTGAGCCGAGGTCCCCACCGAAAACTAAACCCTAACCCGATCAGAGAGGGGCGCAGCCAGTGACGGGAAGCCACCAGCCGCGCCGCCCCGCTCCACCGATGTCGACGACTTCATCGCCCTCTTCCCCGAACGTCGCTGCCCTCGCGCAGACACCGACACAACGACCATGGTCGACGCCTCTGGATCAAAGGCCTACGATGGTCGGTAACCTAGCACTACTCCTCCCTCTAATCTCTGTCTAGTTCATGTACTAGGATATGTTATCAATTTACAAGATGTACCCGACTAGATCTATGACTATGTGATCATAATAAATCTTAACACCGGAGACTCTTCTTCTTAGCTTGCTTATTGTTCTTTGACGAGAGTTCTCTCTCTTTTGTGTAACTTTGAGGAGAGTTCTCTATCCATTTGTTTTGACAAGAAAAGGGAAAAAGTGAAGCCCATTTTGACGTGTTTGGCAGGCCTGTTGGCTGCCCACGGGCCGATAGGTGCCAGGCGGAGTCGGAGCCGCGGGGCCCCAAAAAACAAGCTCCGCCGGCTCCGCCTGGGTTTGTGAGAGGAGTAAAGAGGAGAGAGAGAAATACGGCCGACAGGGAGCCGTAGCCCACAGGAGCTCTGCCAAACAGGTCTTAGTAGGTTCTTCATTGGTGTTGGTCTAGATCGATCATGGGATTGGGATGCTTAACCACACTTACGTTGGGGGTGGGGGGGGGGTGTACAAACAGGAAAGCCAGGCTGGATCCGACGTGTCTACAGGCCATCGGTCAGTGTTCATCTCGTTGGGTCCCACACCTCGTAGAAGGTAGAAATGGAGCCGTGTACGGCCAATATTGGTGCGCTCAAGGCTCACCAAACCCTTGAACCGAAGCTAGGCCAGCTGGTCCGATCCCGCAATCCATTTCATTCGATGTTCGGTTCTGTCTAATTTTAGTCATCCGTGTAAAATGAGCCAGATCACTGACTTTGCAGGTAAGCAATTGAACATAAATATTCCACGTGGATGGTTATATATAGCCTTATACGTAGGACAAAAGAAGGTGCTTTATTGCCAAAAACAGCTTGGAAAATTTCCTTCCAGAAAAAATCCCTTGTTTCAGATTAGTAGCCCCCTCCCAATGCTCGTTGAACATTGATCCAACAGCATGTACATACATACAGGGAAGAGAGAGAGAGAGAGAGAGAGAGAGAGAGAGAGAGAGAGAGAGAGAGAGCAATGCAGTATTTATACGCATACTTTGTTTGGAGAATACGATGATGATGACATGGATCCGTAGTTGTTATATTATTGCCATGAATGAAAATACGATGGCTGCCGCGGCTTGCCTTTGGGGCCACGGGGCCATGTGTGTTGTCTCTGTCTCATCCATTCAAGAGCCTATACTGATTAGTCACCGTGATTCTAATATAAACTAAATCTCCAATACATGATGACCCTTAAGCAATTGCCATTATTATACAGATATACTACATGGACATAGAGAAGACCGCTGCACATTATTGTCCTGTTTGCTTGGCTGATAAGTCATGACTCAAAATACTATTGGTTAATTCGTTGTGAGAGAAAAATACTGTTCGTTGGCTGAAAAAGTACGGCTTATAAGCTAAATGAACGAGACGTATAACGCTGATGACGATGGATGGATGCAAAATAAAAAGGGGCAATAAATCAAATTAAATTAAATTCGATGGTTGGGTCGGCCTACAGCGACAGCGATGCCTCGTCCGCTCTGGATTCTGGAACCAACGTGCACCATGCGCCGCCTCGTAAGTAGCACACGTTGCGTTTCGGGGAGCCACCAGCAGTTAGAAACCTCGCTGAATATATAAAAAATTGTATGCGCCCTGTATCCATCGCGTCGCGGTGCATACACAGGGTCAATGGCTGACGCGTGTCTCCCTCCGTGCCTGGACTGGTCGTGGGTGCCAGCTGGAAGCACGGCTCGCCAAGACGTCATCAACAGCGTCGCTAAATCAAGGATCCTGACTTTTTTTTTATCGACAAATCATGAACCGCTACGGCGGACGACCTCTCGACGCAGCGTTGGATTGTGACATGGAGACACGCGTCAGCCATCGACCTGATGTATGCAAGGCGACGCCATGCATACAGGATCCATATAATGAGCCTGTTCGGCAGGACTGAAAAATAAACCAAAATACTATTCCAGCTAATTATTATGAGAGAAAAATACGATTCTAACTAAAATTACTGTTCACATAAACAGTGATTCGTGAGGAGGCTGTCCAGCCAGCCAGCCACCGGCCAGCCAGTCGAACAGCCACTTTTTTTCAGTTACTCACCGCCCTGGCCCCCCCGGCCCGTGGGCCCTTCCTGCATTGCCCACATGTGGCCGCCCATTTCCTTTCAGATTGCTTGTGCCTATAGCGTTCGAATCTGCTGCTGTACACCCATACATACACACACACACAAAATAAATAAAAAAACACATTTCTTTTTAACTACAAAGTCACATGACGACTCTGATCCTGTATGGCTGTATTATCCGTATACGACTGGGTTACTTCGCTTTAGAAACTTCTTTCATATATAACAAATGTCAGCTTAACTAACACAACCTTCTTTCATGTAGCCACATGAGTTCTACTTCTGTATGGCTGTATCCAATCCTTAATGAGCCCTGGCAACATTCTGATATCATTTTCAACTTTATCTTCTCAATTCAATTCTTGCAGGCTCTACTTGGACATTGCGTAAGCTGGGAGACCGTCAAGGCAAGGCAAGCCAACAGCGAACGAGTCGACAACACCACAGGTCGGCAGGTCCAGAGCAGAGGCGGGCGTCCAATGGACATGGACGGCAACGGCAACGGCAACTCCCCGCGGACTCCTCCGCGCCGGCCGGAGCGGGAGGGGAGCTACAACAGCTACGACATCGAGAGCATGGACGGCGGCTCCGGGGCGCCGCCGTGGCGCCAGCACAACAACGGCTCCTCCGAGGCCCTGCTCCGCTACGACGACGGCGGCGGCGCCGACCGCGGGAGCGCGGCGCGCCAGCCGCTGCTGAGGAAGCGCACCATGAATACGACCTCCCAGATCGCCATCGTCGGCGCCAACGTCTGCCCCATCGAGAGCTTGGATTACGAGTAGGCATTCTTGTTTGTTATTTCTCCTTTCCTTTCTTTTTTTTACCCCCCTTGACTATTCCTCTTACTGCCCTGTCTGCTTTCAAGTTTATGGTTTTTCTTCAGCCTCTGTCCTGAAAAAAAGAAGATTTTCTCCCCTTCTTTGTTGCTACCCTGGTTGATCTTCTTCCTTGGGTTAGAATTTAGAGTGCCCGTTGCTTTTTAGTTCACTTGGCACAGGGAATTAACAATTGTGGCTGTGATTCTGAATCCTGTAGCTGTTTTTCATGGTTCAACCGTTGCGGGAAGCAACCGGAAGAGTTCCTCGTTATAGGACATAGTATCTCAGCCGCTGCCTCCTTAGTACTTCATGCTCGCATCTTGCTTATTCATGTCAACTCTATGATAACTACTACTTGCTTTATGTCCAATCTTCCTTTCGTCTGTAAGTAAATGGCATGTAAGATGGGTACACAATACGAGTTCCTATAATATAAAGCTTCCCAGATATTGTTCTGTGAAGACGAACTATGAACTGGAGCGGTGCCAGCATCCTATATGACAAGTCATGTAATGATCTCCATTCCATGAGTAGTTTAATGGTGACTGAATCGCAAAAGTAAAGCAAATGTGCAGACATACTTCAGTCCTTTTCTTACACCCTTCAATATCTTGCATATTTCAGAGTCGTGGAGAATGACCTTTTCAAGCAGGACTGGCGATCAAGAACGAAGAAGCAGATATTTCAGTACATTGTCCTCAAGTGGAGCTTGGTGCTCCTTATTGGCCTACTAACTGGAGTTGTTGGCTTCTTCAACAATCTTGCGGTTGAGAACATTGCTGGATTCAAATTGCTGCTCACGAGTGATCTTATGCTCAAGGGGAGGTGAAGTTTCAGCTTCTTTTTTGATGGACAACTTGCATTTTGTTAGTTTTTGTATTCTACTTTGTCATATATTGCTTCGTAATCTTTAGCTCATCGCTACACTACCGAAACATTTTGTTGATACTTGGAAATGTTACCAAGTTCACAAAGGCAATAGTTAAGTTCTTTTGGTTGCAATCTATAAAGATTTTCATGTGCAATAGAAATGCTTCTGTGAGAACTAGGGAGCATACAAAGTTGCTATTATTAGTAATAAATGTTTTATTGGATTGAATACATAATACTTCGAAGTAATTAATAATTGTGTTCTGCTCCAGTGCAGGTATATTGGAGCATTTTTTGTGTATGGAGGTTGGAATTTAGTCTTGGCGGCAGCTGCAGCAGCAATCTGTGCTTATATTGCACCTGCTGCTGCTGGGTCTGGTATTCCTGAAGTTAAAGCATATCTTAATGGGGTCGATGCCTATTCTATATTAGCTCCTAGTACACTCTTTGTTAAGGTAAGTTTTGGCTTAGAACCATATGTAAAATCTTATGTTCTAAACCTTTTTGTTTACACCATTTGCAATTTTCTGATTAGCTTGTGGAACAGGATCCTGGGACTAGTAAGCTCAACTGAGTGTTATTGTTCTTATTCATATCATATCATAGTCTAAAACTTAAAGGACTTCTCTTGGAAGCAATATGAACCTGAAGAAACTTAGCGCTAACTTACTTCCAAGTAGCAAGAGAAAGAATATTGCTATTGAATTTGATTTACAGCATTCATCGTCCATGATAATGAACAATATATTCACATCAATGAGCGTCCAGTACTATTTTTTGTTTATATTTTCTTTCTTACTAGGTTCGTGCCCGTGCGTTGCTTCGGGACAACTAAACTTTTGTACTAAAAACATAAAGATCGCACGATAAAATAAAAATACTGTGAAATTAAATACGTTAAAGTGACATTTAATCCAAAAGGCAAAGTTCATGAAATTAACACAGTCACGGAGAGCGCGACGTTGCAGGCTCACCAACTCTACTGTATACACATTTTCGTGCGTCACAGCGGCGACAAATAATGCCCTGATAATTTGAGCATGAACATGTTGTATTGTTACAAAAAAACGATAATGTGAGCGTGATGTTCGGAATGTCAATATTAGAAATTGAATTTTGTGCATGGCTAAAATTCTTATTGATGGTTTGCAATCATCAAGGTATGCATTTATAGTTTTGTACATTTGTGCACACGCACTAAAAAGTTCATATCACCATAACAAGATTAATTGATTCCTTAACTTTTTAGAACTAACCATCTCTTAGAACGCTTCAACCAAAAAATGCTTAGTGACAGACTTACAACCGCCATGTGTCAAACAAGAAAAATATCTCATGTTACCACTTCCATTATATCACTATTTTTCTATCCTCCAAATTCAGTACAGCATCTCCTATAACTTCCTCTAAGATCACCAAAAGTAATTGCAACTCTATTTTTAGCATCCACTACTTTGAACAGTTGTCCTAACCCAACAATCTCATCTTTGGAAAGCTATCCCATTTGCCTTGAACTGAGTGCCAAATTATGCCATTTATGAGCAGAATTGTCCAAGCATTAAAAAAAACTTGATCCTTTATATTGAATACTACAAGTCTGCTAACAGACACATTCACGCACGCCACTTTCAATACAGATTGCTGTACCTTTTCAGCATAATTTACAAACCTAAAATAGATTACAAGTGAGAATATGCTGACTCAGACACACTAAAGTCTAAAATAGAGTTCAATGCCAATTGATCATAGAATTGCTATTTTCAATAATGCTTTGATAGATTTTTAGTTTTTCTGTGTTTCCTAAATGCAGAGACCATAAGATTTTGGTTATCAAGAAAAAAGGGTAAGCAGCTGCATGCCATACCTGATCCAACCATACTGTTCATTTGCAAGTGATTTGGCCCCCAACCTTATATGCTGATCATGCCATTTGCTCAAGGTGTCGCTTTCGCTGGAGCTCAACAACCTAAAAGAAAACAGAATAAATACATGAGCCAATAGTGTTAGAACATGCACAGGTGGAAGGAAAGCCCATGTATATATTCACCCAAATTGGTTTGCTTAGGAATACATGTATCAGCACAAATGAAATTAGAATTGAGTGCCAGTTTAACTGGACTCAAACAAAGAACCATAATCACCATCTGAGTATTGTCACACTTTCAAAACAGGGATAAGCCACAAACAAATATCAAAACAACAATGGCTAGATTGTAAGCCTGTAAACAAAAAAAATATCATAACAATGGCTAGCTATTTCTTGACTCAATGCACTGACGAGCAAATCGGAGAAACCTAACTTCTTAACCACCTTCAGAAACTCGCACCGTTGAATAATAATGTTTGTGGCTTCTTGATATGTTTTTAGGGATCCTTTATTGTAAATCCCAAGTAATTTTTGTCCTGCACGTACCACAACAGTCACATCTCAGCTGTTAATATCATGAATTTTTGAACAATAGTCATATACAGTTTGAAAAGGATGATTCCACCTTCCTTTTTCAGAGTATAGTGCACACATGTATTTTTATTATGACATTTGAGTGTACACACTATCTCTTATAGAGCATACTTGTAAGTACTCCTATTTTTATACAGTTCGTGCATTAGAAAGTACACTTTGCCCTTATACTGAACCAAAGAACAACCTTTGCCCTTCAAATACCAAAGTAATAAATACTTAATGCCTAGATTTCTAGTACCAATAATGATAACTGCAGGCACAACCGTTGTCCAACCAAACAAGACATTGGCGTGACTGTTTCGTAATTAGAGCCCGATTCATAACGCATATTAACAGACTACAGTAAATGAATAATCCAAATGGGAAGGACTGAGAGAAGGTGGACAAGGTAAAATGAAGCAAGAGCAGCAGGCTCACCAAGGCTTGCGCTGTTGCGCTCGAGAAACTCGGCTGCGCTCACCACCGCCTTCAAAACACAAACAGAAACCTATCAATGTACTATCAAAAGTCTAGTGAGCAAAAATACACCTGAATACCTTTTTATTGATTTTTCATCACTAAAGAAACAAACATCCTCAGGACACAAGGCTCACTTATTTAGAATTCTGCAAATGGATTGAATGAAGGCTCAGTTGCAACAACGCAATATGCTGGAATTTGGTTGCAGATGCTTCCTGAGTTAATATTATTTGTTGAAATAGGTAGCTAGGTAGCTGTCAAAATAAGATCGTTGAGTGAGCACCAAACCCCAATCCCAACTGAGAGAAAGGGAGCTCAGTTTTTTGATGAACTGGAAGCTGTTGGCCGTGGCAAGAAACAGAACAAAAATTGGTTAAGCCGTTACTTTGTTGCAGAACATCGAAGGGACAATATGAATATATTCTATTTTCTAGACATCATTTGGTCACGAATAATCTGAAGCACAATGAATATAAACTGCAACTTTTCCCATAAATTATTTATGTATGAAATCCGTATAGTTTCTAATTGAACAATGCAAATGAATACAGAAGTACTTGATTAATTGTAGCAGCTGAGGACAAGCATATCACACATATTTTTTCGAATAGATTGTTAGCGCTGAGGTTTCCACAAATGAAGTGGACTTACCTTCATGGAGATCCCGCTCGGATGGTTCTACTTGGCTACTTTGTGTCTCATGCTTCTTCATCAGTGTGCTGTATACAAATGCAATGCGAGCATGCGGCTGGCTCCCCATTTACATGAACCCTGAAGCTGCTTATAACGAAAGGCTTGTCATCGACGTGTGTTGCTATACAACAGAAAGAGCTGAAAAAAAAATCAAGGAATAGCCCTACTTCCTTCCCCTGGGTGCTATTATCAGTAAGGGCTAAGAACTCAAATATTCAACATCTTGTTCGTACAGCTCTCTGGGCGGCTTCTAAAGCAAGTAGAAATTCCTACGGCTAAAGGAAGGAGTCCATGCCTCCATGGAGGCTGATAACCCAGATAAGAGAAAGTAATACCCGAGCGACCTCCGCGAGGGCACCGGCGACGCGGACCTCACCCTGGCCCTGCCAGCGGACCCCGGCTCCACGGGCTTCCGGCACCACCGCACGCTGCCAGTACCGCGACCCGAGGCGGCGGCGGAGTAGCTGAGGGTCTGCGCGAGGTCAAGGATGCCGAGTTCCTGCATCCGCTCCATGTTCTCCTGGATCCTCGCGGCCCACTCGCGCTCGTAGTCCCCAATCACCTCCGCCTAGGTCGCCGCCAGCGGGGACGCCGGGCTGCCCGACGGCTAGTCGGGGGCAGGGTTCTTCGACGGCCGGCCCCGCCATCTTGGGGCCAGAGCAGCACGTGCAGGCGGCGTGCACGCGGTAGCGGCAGCCGGCAGGATCGGAACCGCACGTCCTCCAGGCGGCACGGAGCAGCACGGGCAGGAGGCGTGCCACGAGGTCCGCTAGTCCCTCCCGCGACAGCCGGCAGTGGATGGATCGGCTGGTGAGGAAGATGGAGGACGTCAAAGGCGAGGGCGATGATGGCGAGGACCGCCCGCGACGGTGATGACGGCGCAAGATCCTGGAGGGTGACGGCGACGACGGGGCGATGGCTGAGGACGACGGCAGCCGCGCGTGGAGAGCAATTGTTTGTCTGCGGTCGAATCTCGGGGTGCAAGCTGGATGACGATTCCTTTTCTCACGGATGAATCACGGGGAGCGACGCGGATGGCGGTTTCCTTTTATATCGCGCGGGGGAAGCGTGGTGAAAGCAGGCGGGGATCGCAGGGGCAGCCCGACGACCCTAAGCGGTGATTGTGGCACCAAAAAAATGTCATATTTTACTCTTTTTAGTTTAGGGAATTGATTTTTGCCTTCCTAATTTGCTGCGGCTGTTATGGGGATTGAGCTGATCGCATGGAGCGAGTGCGCGTTATCTTCCTGATCTGATTGCATGGAGCGGCTTTGGTGTCGCACTTGTGGACGGAATAGTTATGAATGTTTTAGTTGTATAGAGATTAAAAAAAAATAGAACGGTGACCTCAACAGATGACAAGAAACTGGCGGCACTAATTTGTTCTTAGGATAGTGACCCTAAAAGAGTGTCCTTAGTCCTTACGAAAATTACACCAAATATTTCTGTTAGAAAAGCTTATACAGATATGATGTTTGTATATTTAGAATAAGGGAAGGTTCCTTGACTTGGCAGAATCATTTTACATTGGAAACTGACAACAAACTGTACCAATACCAGCATGGGTTATAGAGCTGTCTGTAGAAATATTCGATTCTGAAATCTTCTACTTGCAGATTTTTGGTTCAATACTTGGAGTTTCAGCTGGATTTGTGCTAGGAAAGGAAGGGCCCATGGTACATACAGGGGCATGTATTGCCAACTTGCTTGGTCAGGGTGGATCACGCAAGTATCATCTTACTTGTAACTGGCTACGATACTTTAAGAATGACAGGGATAGGAGAGATTTGATCACATGTGGATCTGCAGCTGGTGTGGCAGCTGCCTTCCGTGCACCTGTTGGTGGTGTTCTGTTTGCTCTTGAAGAAGCAGCATCATGGTAGCACCTCTTTCTAGAAAATTTAGCATTGTTTTTTGGGCTAAATACTTTCACTATTTGACCTCTTGCATATTTTGGTTGTCACAATATTGCAGGTGCAGTATCTATGAACTTTCAATGTCTATCCGTTTTTACCTAACATTGATTTGGTGTTATGCTTTTTATTGTTCAACAAATAATCATTAGTTGGGCATGTGGCTACAACTACAATAGATTGAACAATTGATGAAATTGGGAAAAAATGATATTAGCATAGTTATCTACTATTAGTCTGCAATCTGCATAAATTTCTTTTTTCAGTTTTTCGTATGATGAAATATGATGTTTATATACATCATTTTACAGGTGGCGAAGTGCTCTTTTGTGGAGAACATTCTTTACAACTGCTGTTGTTGCGGTGGTATTGAGGGGACTGATTGAGTTCTGTCGCAGTGGAAAATGTGGTCTCTTTGGGAAAGGTGGATTGATCATGTTTGATCTCAGTTCAACTGTTGCAACCTACAGTACTCCAGATCTAATTGCAATTATAATCCTTGGGATAATTGGTGGAATCTTTGGAGGCCTCTTCAACTTTCTGTTGGACAAGATCCTCCGAGTTTATAGTATTATCAACGAGTAAGCACTCAACTGTAATTAACATGTTTGCCTAACTTCTCTGCTTATTTTAAGATATGATATCATCTATATTATTTAATCTGCCTGCAGGAGAGGTGCTCCATTCAAGATCCTTCTCACTATAACAATATCAATAATCACATCGATGTGCTCCTATGGTCTTCCTTGGCTTGCAGCATGCACTCCATGCCCTGTTGATGCTGTGGAGCAGTGTCCTACTGTTGGTCGCTCGAGCAATTATAAGAACTTCCAATGCCCACCAGGGCATTACAATGATCTTGCGTCACTCTTCTTCAATACAAATGATGATGCCATCCGCAATCTCTTCAGCAACGGCACATCAACTGAGTTCCAAATGTCATCTCTTTTCATCTTCTTCACTGCTATTTACTGCCTTGGACTAGTGACTTACGGTGTTGCTGTCCCATCTGGTCTCTTTATCCCTGTTATTCTTGCTGGAGCCACGTATGGGCGCATAGTGGGAACTCTTCTTGGATCCATATCTGATCTTGATCCTGGCCTTTTTGCCCTTCTTGGCGCAGCATCTTTTCTTGGTGGAACAATGAGAATGACTGTGTCAGTCTGTGTGATCCTTCTAGAGCTCACCAATGATCTCCCCATGCTCCCTCTACTCATGTTTGTTATTCTCATATCCAAAACCATAGCAGATAACTTTAACAAGGGAGTTTATGATCAGATAGTGGTGATGAAAGGCTTGCCATTCATGGAGGCTCATGCTGAACCATACATGAGGCACTTGGTTGCTGGTGATGTGGTGTTTGGCCCACTAATCACCTTTTCTGGTGTTGAGAAAGTGGGGAACATTGTTCATGCATTGAGGTTAACTGGCCACAATGGTTTTCCTGTGGTTGATGAGCCACCCATAACGGAAGCCCCGGAACTGGTTGGGCTTGTGACTAGGTCTCATCTATTAGTTTTGCTGAACAGCAAGAATTTCATGAAGGGACGGTTCAAAACTAGTGTTAGCTTTGTTCTGCGAAGATTTGGTGCATTTGACTTTGCCAAACCAGGTTCAGGTAAAGGTTTGAAAATTGAGGATCTGGATTTCACTGATGAGGAGATGGACATGTATGTGGATCTCCACCCGATCACAAATACATCACCTTACACAGTGGTTGAGACAATGTCACTGGCAAAAGCGGCAATCCTTTTCCGGGAACTCGGGTTGAGGCACCTTTTGGTTGTGCCAAAGACACCAGACGTAAGAGACCTCTCTCACTTTCTTAGTCAGACATGGAATCGATGATTCGAGTGCTTTATCAATTTGAGTTTGTTATTTGTTTACATTCACAAATTGGATACATCATACATGATATGGATTCTGGCTTTAGATGCATTGAAAGTCATATACCTTCTAGGTGCTTAGTACCTCATTAGTTGTCATGCAGAGTTATATCATTTGTTCTTTGTTTACTTGATATCTTCTGTTTTCTTGAATATTTAAATATATGTATTTAAGCTAGTATATATGTCCAGAGTAACCTTAACCCCTTAACCCAGTGATTACGCCTGCAAATTTATTACTATAATCCATTTATGCATTACCATCTTTAGTTTGGGAAAGTTTCCATGGCTGATGATGGGTGTCTGTTTCTTGTCGAGTGCAGAGGCCTCCCATAGTCGGGATTCTCACGAGGCATGATTTCATGCCTGAGCACATTCACAGTCTGTTCCCGAACCTCAATCCTCACAAGTACCATTCAGCATCAATGGCAGGTTGATAATGAGGCTTTTTTCTGCTTCCCATCTATGTACATTATTCGGATGCGGATGCTGGCTGTATGTAAATTGCAAAGGTGTATCTGGTGTTCAATACATGGTTTGGCTTGTGTGGATTTTGTAGCATATGCTCTTTTTGCAATAAAAAAATGTGGCAGTTATTTTGCTGGTGACTGCCTATTATGAGCCTGCGGCAAGAAATGCACAGCAAGTTGCGGAGTAAACATTCAAAGCTCCAGAATATGGAGAGAAAGTGTGTATTGCATATTTGCATTGTTCCTGTAAAGCATGTTTAGAGAACTGAAACTCTTGAGGATTTATCTATAAATAATACGGAGTATATATCTCAGGCGGAAACATGGGCGATTGGGACTGCGAAGTGCAGATTTCCTCTTGCGATTGTAAGATCTACTTGGATTGAGATTCGTAACATTTCTGCTCTGCTCTGCTCTGTTACGATATTCACATGTCAAAATGTGCTGACATCCTAACCGTGGTTCCTGCACAATTAAGGCATGTGTCATGTTCATGCGTTAAGTTCTTTTTTTCAAATGAAAATGGATACGAGCTATTAGAATATATTACTCGTACCTAATGTAACAGAACAGCATGTCACGCTCGTCGGCTCGTGGCCGCCAGCCATCTGCCGACGACGTGAGATACCTCACAGTGATAATCCTTCCAACAGTATGTGCTTTGGATGTTGTCGCGTACCGTGATGATGCCCTTGGGCTCTGGGATCTTGAGCTTGTGGTATACGTAGACGTAATTCGGAACCGTCGTGAACTTGATGTAGCATGGCCTTCCGAGTATAGCGTTATAGGACCGTGACCTGTTTGGTTTTAATGCTACATGGAACTAGACTAAAATGTTAGTTGAAGCATATTGACATGGGCCTATTTGTATATTAGTCTGATTATCTGCTATTCTCAATATTTGTTAGATTGTTCGTATATACTCTAGAGATGCATCTGTAATTTCTTTGAAAGAACTAGAAAAACTGTCCATGCCCGTAGTGCAGGCCAGCCAACTAGCTGGTTGAAGATGAAGGCTAGATAGAGTAAGAAATCTATATGTGAAAGTCACTGCTAATGATTCCTTTTTTTTCTTCATAGTTTTATAGGCACTGAGAATGATGTAGTGAAAAATCTCAAATTTTGATATGTTGCTTTGATTATGGGTTGCATTACTTTGACTATTAGCATAATAAAAATGCATTAGTAGAATGATCTAATATGGATGGCAGTTAGAATTGTTCTGAGATAAAAGAAAGCATCATTTGCCTCAGTCCTGATATTATCTTGATTGTGTTAGTTATTTATTTTTCCAGAAATTTCTCTGGTTACCCTCTGTAGCTCTTTGCTTTCTCAAATGGTTATATGCTTTTACATGTTGGTTTGGTCTGTCCTACTGTCATTTCAATATTAGGATTATGCTGTAGCTGGTTTTGAATTATTATGTGTGCATGTAGTGATAAGTCATTTGGTAGATTAACCACTGCCAGGAGATGTACAAGTAGAAGGATCCAAAGCACAAGGCCTATGTGATGGTGCACTATTGGTCATTGCTCCAACACAATAAGGAGTGGAAACTGAGAAAGAATAATTGTGATTCACCGAAGAAGGTGCCAAGCAAATCCTCTCTAGGCTTGGCGCAAGTGCATGAGGAAGATGAGGTGGGAGGAAGCAATTACTGCTCTAAGATTGGAGGCGCCCAAAAACAAGAGGGAGAGGATTAAGAAGGGACGGGACCACGTGTTTCACACAATAGTCCAAGAGACAATTGCAACAAAGGAGTTTGAGGCTGAGAAGAAGCAAGAAAATGAAACAAGATGGATGGAGATCAGGGCCATGGAGATGCACAAGGTGGTGATTGAAGAGAAGTTGTGAGTTCTTGAAGAGGAGTTGCAAATGAAAAAAGTGGAGCAAAAAAATGCAAGATTATGTTCATGGACATTATTGGGCTTGATGAAACACAAAAGGCCTATGTTCTGTCAATGCATGCTCAAATTTTGGCGTCGAAGATGGGAGGGAGTGGCAGTGGAGTGGAAATGCAAGGGTTTGTTGATCTGTATATGCATTTTCAGAAATAGAATGCCTTGTTTCTCCACCAATTTTGGAAGAAAAATCACATTAATTTGCACTCTAAACAAATGGCAGCACTCTGAACCAATTTTGGAACTAGCTTATTGTTTGCTCTTGAGAACAATATGTTTTTGAACAGAAGGTAGACCTTAATACCTATTTGTGTTACTGTCTTCAAGTTGAGCATTAGTAGTAGCACTAATAGTGAAATCAGTCTTGTGCTATGGCTATGGTGAACAATCTTTGCCTATTATTTATGAAAGGTTACTTGAACCTTGCACATAGTTGGTTGTGTAACATATCCACTGGTTGTGTGATTTGTCCAGTTCAGACCATTCTATATGCTTTCATATTTAACATAGCAGGTGAGCTTGGTTGTCTGAATGCCCACAGGCCATGGTTTCACAGCCGTAAAATTTTAGTCTTCTCATTATCTAAAAAAAAGTTTCAGTCTTCTACATATTTTTAATATATCTTGGCATAAATTTGAATATGACCATGAGCCTTTTTAATATTGATTGAATTATGTGTGGTAGACATAAAAATAAGAATGATTGTGAGTGCAATTAGAGTGTTCATGAGTTTGTATGAAAATATAGAGAGAAATACAAGAATGGACTATTGGGGATAGGGTATCAGTGATCTGCAAAAGTATTCTCCCCTAATAATCCAAAAAGGGGTATTAGGTTATCCTCATTAACATCTTATTGGAGTTATATTGTGGAGCCGTAATACTTTGCCATGGCCCACTATTAGATTGATGCACACCTTTAGATCTATAAAGACAATAAATCATCAAAAGATTCTGATATAGGTAGATGAGAATCTTTCGAGTGTGAAGTATTTTCATTTCTTTCGTTTTTTTATAGTAGACTACAAAGAGAGATAAAGAAAGAACTAATTGAATTCCATTTAGTAGCCTTGTAGCTACAACAAAACACTTGGCAACAACTACAAAAAAAAAAGGAGACAGAATCAATTGCCAAATTGCATTAGAATGATTATTTCAGCATCCTTCCTATCTTGCGTATCATGATGCTTAATCCTCCTTGTGAACGAAGTTAACGAGGTTGTAGATGATACATGATAGTGGCTGCGAGCATAATTCCAGTGCCAGTGCTAAGATGGAGAGAGCTAAGGCAGGAAAAACAAACAGATAAGGCAAGGAAAAACCTGTCTGTTTTTTGTTTGGCACCATTGGCGCCGTTCGGCTGGTAAGGAATCCAGCCGTAGTTTACTGTTCACGGCTGGTTTTCGCTGTTTACGCTTTCGTAAATTTCTTCAAATTTATCTACCTCTAAATTCCTCCCAACCAACGGCACCATTATCCTTGGGGGATCCCAAACCCCCGACCACTCCGCTCCACGGCCACCATGGTGCCGCTCCACTGCTCAGCTAGCGTCCACCTCCACTGCCTCCCGCCATCTCGCCGACTCCGCCTTGCTTCATCCTTCCCTCTCCTCTGCCGTCGCCTCCGCCGCTCCACCGCCATCCGCGCCGAGGCTCAAGTGCGGCCTCCGCCGCCCGCCTCCACAGCGGAGCCAGAGCCCCCCGACGCCGGCGCTGTCGAAGCCGAAGCCCAAGGGCAGGGACCCGTGGAGCTCCGCGCTCCGACGCTCTTCTCGACGGATGACAATCCCACCCCGCTCCAGACTGCCACCAGTCTCCTCCTCACCGGCGCCATCTCGGTCTTCCTCTTCCGCTCCCTCCGCCGCCGCGCCCGCCGCGCCAAGGAGCTCGTAATACATCCCCACCCGATGCCATCCTCTATCTACATCACTCCGCATATGCTCTCCAAAAGAAATCTGATGGCGTGGTTGATTGATTGCCGCAGAGAGTGCGGTCGAGCGGGGTGAAGAAGAAGCCCAACAATCTCACCGAGGAGGCCCTGGAGGGGCTGAGGCTGGTGAGCACCTCACCCATCGAGACCGAGAAGCCGCCATCACCAATCCAGGTTCTGCTCGGCGGGATTGCGGCGGGGGTCATCGCACTCATCCTCTACAAGTTCACCACCACAATCGAGGCTGCGCTCAACCGTCAGAACATCCCCGACAGCTTCTCGGTCAGCACTTCAGTCTTGTTCTTATCGTTTCTTAGTAGTTCATTAAGCACTGACATTGTCATTATAATCGGGGATTTTGATATCGAAATGACCTATGTACTTGCAATTGTTTGTTGCTAGAAATCGGCAATTAAGTAGGATGCTCTTACTCGCTTGTTTTCAGTGAAGAAGACAATTCAACTAGCATTCGTGAGCTATGATGCAGTGGAGCCATGCTCCCACAGGACAGGCTGAGCACACGTTTGGTTGGTGTATATATTGAGCTTGATTGAGAAGAGATAGTGTTTGGTTGCCCGCGCAAAGATATAATCGCATGAGACAAAAGTGGATAAACACGTGTTATTGAGATATTTATTTTAGACAAATATACTTTAATGGTTCTTATTTTATCTTATTAAATCTTAATATCCTTCGAAATATGTTAGTATCGTTTAATATACAGTAATCATACTCTAATCCAGTCATTAGTTGGTGCACGATGCGCATGCCACAGGCCTGGAGTGCTAGAAACGACCAAAAAATCCGTATCCACAGATGCAGGCTGTGGGTTGCTTTTTGCACCAGCGGGGATAGGCTCTGATGCAGTCATCCAAACATGAGAGGCTGCACGCCACGGGCCTGGTTCAGCCTCCATGCAGCCAACCAATCGAACTGATATGTTGCCTGTAATCCTGTTCCTGTACACGCGCGTGTGTTACCTTTGGGCCAAATAAGCATTCCCAGTTGTTCTGGATGTGGACGTTTGTAGTGCTCGACGCATGCAAGCTCATGCGGAGCGCATCCAGGTCTATAGGGAGATGTGTGCTATGCTGTGGTTGTGGATGTGGGATGGCACGACCGGTCGAGTGGCATGCCGCGCATGTAGGGCAGATCACTGCCACTATTAGGAGTTGTTGTTCTCTTTATATTAAGTGAAGCATACGGAAAACGCTGCCAGCTCTAGCAGCACAAAAGATCAGGTGAGTGGGTGATCACCGGCGTTGTGTGCTCGCCAGAATTTACAACATTATAATCATAAGAGTTTGTTTTTTTGCTTTGTGTGTCTGGGTATGGGCTGGCTAGGTGGTGTTCCTTCTCAGGTCTTTGGACTTTGGATGTTTCAGTGTTAACATTTTGAATTTTCTCAAGCAATATAACTTTTACTTTGTATGTTTACATTGTAACACTTTCTGTGCAACAAACCATGCTATGCATATGACTCCATTCCAACTAGCACAATCAAGCCAGCACATTGAGCCATCAAGGAATGGACCAGGGTTAAGTTTAGTTGCAGATGAACTGGTCATATGTTTCATTCAAATGTGTAGCATTTTTTTTCCTTAATGGAGTCACTAAAAGCAGTGAAGGGCTGATTCGTATTTTCTTGTAGTGTGTCAAATAAGAAACAACAATCTTATAATTGTGCCATAAGCTAAGCCCATAACCAAATCTTGGATGTTTCAATTTTATTAGTTTGACTGAAATCTGTGCTGATCGGCCATTGCCATAAAATTAGATATATGTATTTATTAGGCAATTCTTCGAAATGAGTTTGATATCGATCTGCCTTTTTGATGTTCTTGGTTTGGATGTCTCCTGTTCCTTTTAGTATGCTTCTCGGCAAGATAACTTTTATTTTATGTGTTTACATCATTACACTTTCTTTGCAACAGTTCAATAGTTCATCCTATTTGTGCATTGTGTGTTACTGGCAGGTCTCTGAAGTTAAACATTGTAGTCCATATCAGCATTAGACTTGTATCAGTTTAATTGAGTTTTTTGGCTTTTGAAACAAGTGACACCCTCTTTCTTGTTAATGCAAAATGATGTGTATCATATAGGGTACAGTACAATGTATTTTGTTTTTGTGTTGTTTTCAGTATGCTTATGGATAACTAGTTTGTTATAGCTATCTTACACATTATCTAATAGAATCCAATTGTCTTTTTTCAGGCTCGTCAGATTACAATCACAATAAGGTGTTAAATGATCCATTTTGCTGTTTGTTCTAAGCTGGCTTCCTAGACCTTATTCCACTTATACTGCTCTTTTCAGAACAATTATCACTGGGCTGTGCTACCTAGCAACTTCTGTCTTTGGAATCAATGCAGTGGGATTAGTTTTGTATTCCCTCCAACTCACTTTACAATCAATCGTGGACGATGACTCCAGCTCCTCCACAGGGAAGATTACTGAACAAGCTAATACACTGGCATCATCTGATAGCTCCACAAGTAGCAGGGAATCAGACAGTAGTGATATGCATGTCTCTGACAAAAGTAAAAACTCAGCAGAGAAGCAGAGTTAGACATGTAATATAAATAGCCAAATTCTGAGCTCTGAGGGTACATATAATTGGACAATCATTGTAAGCATTCCTTCTCATCTTTAGCTGAAAAACTTATTCTCATCTTTAGCTGAAAAATCTGGCGGGTGCAGTCTCAACTAGAGAGTTTCAATTAAGCTAGTACTCCCTCCATCCAAAAAAGAAGAGAAGAATGCAATTCTAGATTTGAGCCAACTCAAATTGTCTTAAGTTTGACTAAGTTTTAGAAAATATATCAATATTTATATCTCTAAATATATTTATTATGAAAATGTATTCTACGATTAATCTAATGATATTTACTTGGTATCATAGATGTTAGTACTTTTTTTTGTATAAATTTGGTCAAACTTAAAATTATTTGACTCCTTGAAAAGTGAGAATTACATTCTTTTGGAATGGAGTAATAAGCTATTAACATATGGAACTCGAACATATTTGTCTGAGCTTGTAAAGTTGTACTTGTTATATAGTCTTGCAAGATTTCTGATTGCCGTTGCCCATTGGCACTCTTTCCTTCTGGTGTAGAAATTGTTGTTGCACAAACTGTTGCTAACGACTTAAACATTATCATATTTCCTTGCTGCTACAACTTAACATTATCATATTTCCTTGCTGCTAATCTCTCTTTAAAAACTTATATCATGTTGTCTAACAACTTGAGATTATCAGATTTCCTTGCCGCTAATCTCTGTTAAAAACTTGTGATGCTGTCTTACAAACATTCAAAGGCGGATAACAAATTAACAAGACCTGTCAAGACTCAAGCTCAAGCAAAAGCTGGTGTTGGGAAGTGGTCCGTTCTGGTATGCCCCAAAAAGCAGCTAGAGCTATGAGGCAATTGGGATCATCGTCCATCTGTAAGCTGAAGGCTGCTCTGTGCTCACTTGGTGTCACAATAAAAAAGCTTCGAGTAGAGTAATCATTTCGTAACATTTTGTGAAGTCTTGTTCTGTATGTATGTCTGCACATGTATTGCCTATGAGGTTATGAACAAAGACACCAGCGTTCTTTTCAGTTTTGTATGCAACTTTTATATGGTGCGCGTGTGTTTTGAAACAGATGCTGGATTTATGGATTGGGAAAGGATTAAGAACAGTAGGTAAATATGCATATTATATCTGATGTTTAACACTGAAAATGCTAGAGTATTACATAATTATATATTACATACTCTATTGCAGCAGTTTTTGTAGAGGGAGTTGTACATAGGAATTTTACATACTAGATAGTAACTTGATCGATACGATATTACTGCTAGGAAACACATGTATAGTAGGGGTTTCTTTATTGCCACATTGGAGTATACTATTGTTAGAGATAGCGCTCCGGAGGTTGTACTGGTGATGGACTGGAGGCCTGGGCTTGAACACGCGACGACGAACGGGAGGCGCCGTGCTCGGCGCCTAGGGTTGCGGCTAGCGACAACAAGATGACGTGAATAGGAAGTAAGGGCCAGGAGCTTAGGGAGACGTAAGTCTCAATCCCAGGCTGAATCGTATTAGAAGCAAACTGTTTAACTTATACAAGACTCGATAACCAACTTTCTAATCTTTAGGGAATAAACTAACTGACTCTAGATATGCTAACAACTTAGCCTAGCCGGCTCCGTGGCGTGGCCTTAGCCACTTGCCTTGTCGCCTGACTTATCCCGCCGATGGTACACTTTGCCCACCATAACATCTCTCCCCTCCCCGACAAACAGCTCGTCCTCGAGCTGGAAGTCAGGAAAGCGAGTCTTGAAACCATCGACCGGTTCCCAGGTGGCTTCAGAATCATCCAGGCCGGTCCATTTGATGAGAACCAGCCAAGTGCCGCGACGCAGCTGTGCCTTGAGAGCGCGCTCAGGTTTCAGCAGCAGACGACCATGACGAAGGGGAGGCAGTGCTGGCAGGATCGTTGGTGGCGTTCCACGCCACGGCTTGAGGACGCCGACGTGAAAAACATCATGGATCCTGGCACCATCAGGCAGCTGAAGACGATAAGCCACGGCACCAATCCGCTCCAGGACTTGGTACGGTCCAGCGAAACGTGGGCTCAACTTGGAACGCTTGCCCGGCACCAGGGACTGTGCAGGGCGGTGGAGCAGCCGGAGTAGCACCCAATCGCCCACGACAAACTCCACGGCGCGATGATGACCATCATAGTGACGCTTAGCATACGCCTGAGCCTGTAGGAGGCGTTCACGCACATCCTGCAAAAATGAGTCCCGATCCCGAAGAAGAGTGTCCACTGTCTCTGTCGAGGCCGAGCCTTCTGTGTATGGCAGTAGAGCAGGTGGAGGCCGGCCGGAAACCACTTCAAAAGGCGTCGTCTTGAGCGCCGAATGATAGGACGTATTGTAATAATACTCTGCCCAAGGAAGCCACTCCAACCACGCACGAGGCCGATCTCCTGTAATGCAACGTAAATACATAGCTATGGTCTTGTTGACAATCTCCGATTGGCCGTCGGTTTGTGGATGAAATGCCGTGCTCATGCGAAGCTGCACCCCGGCGCGCTTGAAGAGGTCTTTCCACACATTGCCCGTGAAGACCGGGTCCCGATCACTCACGATCGAGCGAGGGAACCCATGTAGCCGAACGATGGCCTTGAAGAACGCCTTGGCAACCGATGCGGCAGTGTACGGGTGGCTGAGCTTAACGAAATGCGCATGCTTCGAGAAATGGTCCACCACTGTGAGAAGCACGCTCTTGCCATGGACACGAGGCAGCCCCTCCACGAAATCCATAGCAATGTCCGACCAAACCGAAGAGGGTACCTCTAATGGTTGCAGCAGTCCGGTGGGGTGGAGGGACTCAGTTTTGTTGCGCTG